CTGAATACACCTCATCCTCAGTCATATCTTTTGTGCTTAAGTGTAGGAGGGTCCTTGAAAACTAAGTTTTATAAAGATAGGAGGTAATACTTTACGGCACTGATTATCCCCAGTTTACCAGCTTTCCTTGGTCCCAATGCTGATGTTAATTGGAATATTACAGAGACCTTGATAAATAAGTACAGCAAAATTTTCCTTTTTTTTGGTCTTCCCTATTCCACTTAGTCCACAAAATTTCATTTTTTAAGGAGTTGATATACAGTATTACTATAACATTAAGGTCTAATATTATCATAACAAGTTTACTTATGAAATTCAGTCCAGAGTGTAAAATACTAAGCCATATTAGAGGTAATGAATTATCTGTATTTAAACACACAAACCATGCATGATGGCTAAGTAGGGGGTTTGTTTCCAGTGGATTCTTTCAGTTGGAGCCTTTTAAAATATTTGCAGCAAAATATTTATTGTAATTGTCATAAATACTGTGTTCTTAACATCTCTAATAAAAAATACCAGCAGGATTAAATCTGTAAAAGCACAGAGAAGTTCTCAGGGGCTTTGAATCCAGCAGGATCATGTAATTAATAAGATTGTATTTGACAAAGGAATATATAATTTATATATAATACAATACACGCAATAATGTAGAATTTAACATATAATTTACAATTATATGCCTGCCAAATCAAGTTATTAGGACAAGTTTTTAAAACAGCTGATGATGTAATCCATCTGCACTGACAGTGCATGGCTCACGTAACCTTGAATACTTCAGGTAGTTTAAGAAGGAACTTTACTGTAAACTGTTTGGTCTTTTCCTCCTCTCTTTTTAAAGGAAGTTCTTTTGGCTGAGATGGAGGAAAATTAAAAAGAACATTAACTATTAACATAAAATATTAAAAGGCAAGCTTGCTGAAGCCAGTTTCAGAGCATTTCAACTTTTGCCTTTAAATTCCATGCTGAGCATTATCAGTGATGCAGAAGAGCATACTCACAGGAAAGTTCTGCAGTGCAAAGTATAAAATATGCTGATGATTTAACATCTCACACACCCCAGTGTTCCCCACACAGGGGTCAAAAGCCAGGGTTCAGCTGGACTCACAAATACATCACCCTGAATCAAACAGAGCATCCCTAAGTAGTAGCAGTCACTAGCACACACTCATTACATTAATAAATTGCTCGCTAATGGGAGCAGTGACAAGTAAGATGTGCACTTAGCGGCCCTGTTTGCCGCCCGCTCCCGATGCCTGAATGCCCGTTTTTCTCTGGGTTATGTTCTAAAGTCTTCAAAGTGCATGAAGAAAATCTGCTCAGTGTTGTGAAATAAATCAAAGAGTGTCTGCTGAAAATTCCTAAAACGCTTCTGCCCTAATCTCCTGGACCAGAGAGCGGGCTTGCAGAATGCTAAACTTGCTTTTCAAAGAAGATCAAAGCAACACCAGCAACAATTAAAAACAGGGGTGCAGGTGGGCGCATGCGCAGGGGCTCTGCGGAGGCTCTAAGAACCTCTTTTTAGTCATCCCTGAATGCTAAGGTTGACTTATCTAATCATTACACGTGTGGTTTGAAAGGACAGGAGACGTGTTTATAAAGCACACAAAAATTGTCCGCCTTTATGTACAAAATGTGTTTTATGCACATGCAACATTTTACGAGATACACTGTTTCCATTAATTTTGAAAAGCTCCTCAGCTTCTGCCTAATTAAACTAGCCTGTAATTTTGTTGTTTAGTGATTCAAAGATAAATGAAGTTGCAATTATGTATCTGTCCTTCCTCCTGTTCGTCTTTCAATAGGGTTTCCCAGACCCTACCTTAACACTTTGAGGGCCAGCTGCTTGCCTTACCCAGCACCTGAAGAATGAGGTATCAAGAGGTACTGGGCCTTTTGACAGCTTATCAAAGGCACTGCAGTGATTTTATTTCGCTGCTTCGACTTTTACACGGTATTGGCTGCCCTGCCTAAGACAGGTTGTTCCAACATGCATTTACACAAGAAATACTTGTGTTAGTAGCTAAGTGTAAGGACTGCTTGTGCTACCAGGTGAGCGCCTGAGGGAGGGTGAGGTTGCATGACAGGTGCTATGACTCCAGTATGGGGGAAGACTTAGCAGCCAACCTGCTGTTTCCCTGGAAATATGGTTTGTCTGTTTTCCTCTTCTCAAGCTGGCATTTCACTGCACAAACCAGAAAGGAAAAAGAAAACAACCCCAAGCAACCATCTATGGGAAAAAACTCTTCGAAGTTCACAGGGTGAGTACGGAAGGAGTAAAACCCTGAATGAACTCTCCTGGTTGAATTGGGTTAGGATGAAAAATGCTTCTGCTAAATGCTGAAAATTTAGGTCAGTCTTGTTTATGTGAAGATATAAACCACTGACATTTTGAGAAGCATGTGAATCGAAGTGATATTTCAGTGTTCTCTCTGAATCACATTGGGCCACCAGGCCCTTCTATACCAAACAATTTCTCCCCCTTCAAATTAAAAAAAATAACTCTGAATTGTCACGTCAGCTATAGGCAGCAACACATTGGAGTACCGTGCTTTTAAGCCTAGTGGCAGCAGCCCCTGAAATATTTCCTATTTTTAAAATACACCAAATTAACCAAGTAGCTACTTGGGAAACCGAACAGAACCAAGTAGGTACAATTTTGAAAGCCATCTGCTTTTTTCCCCCTCATATTAATACGGGTTACATTACCTCCCTACAAGCATCAGAGAAGATGAAGAAAAAGACAGTGGATGCTTTTCTGAGACCTAATTGATGTTATCCAAAACATGCATCACACCACATATCCATTACATTTAACACAGCTCAACATAAGGCGATTCTGACAAGGCGAATAGGGCTCAATCCTATTTCTCTTCAAATCCATGTGAATAGTTTATTATATACAGATCCAGGCTCAGTGATTTATTTTGATAAAATGTTACTTAGCAGCATCAAAACTGGCTATACCAGGGCTTCCTACTGCTGCCATTGAAACATATGGCAAAATTCCCATTTACTTCCATGGGAGGAGAGCAAAGCCCTTAGAAACCTTTGTATTTAAGGAAAAACATTTTTCCTCCCACCCATGACTACAGTTCCCCTGAAAAACCAATGGAAATGTTTAAGAAGTCAGGTGGTTAGGACTGGGCCCAGAGGTCAGGAACAAAGAATATTAATACAGTCTTGCTATTGAAAAACTGAGCAGCATCCTCAAAGCATTGTTATTGTTTTCAAACAGAAAACGTCACTCTCAGATCTAAATATAAAGATTTAAAAATACATATAAATCTGTGAAAAAAATGAACCACATATTTCATTTAGTGTCTGGATTACAGATTCTTATTAAACAAACCAGAGCTCATTATAAAATCAATATCAACCACTACACTCCCAGGAGAAATGGCAAAAAAGGTCACTCCAAGAAATTCAAACAATTTTCCTGCTGGAAGGGCACGATTTTAATTACAGATACTATTAATTAGAGCTGTCAGTAGGAAGATTGTCCTGTTAATTATCACAAATTCAGTTTCAAGTGTGGTTTTGGAACCTGGAGGGCTTTTTAAAAAAAATTAAGAATTCTTGTATTCACATTTGACAGAAGAAAAAGACTACCTATCGCTTCTGTGCTTTAAATAAGCCAACAGCAAGTTCCCTATTAAAACCAAACAAAAATATTTATGGTCACAGTCTCATTGGCCAACAAAACTGATAAACTGCTGTTTTGTTCACACTTTATCCCAGAGAACACTCCATTTTTTTTCTCCTGGAAATGCTCTTGCTCTATCTTTGGAAGGCATTAAATTCAAAGACGTAAAGTAATTTAATGTATTTTTTTTAAAGTAAACATTTCATTTAAACTGAAAACCAAAACCATTGCTGAAGACACTAATTGTTAGAGGAACACTCATATTTGTTATTCTGTACTAAATTCATCCTAGACCCAGCCTAGGAGATATACTTAATACATTACATCTTTAACAGATAGACCCAAACTTTTTTAGGAAATATGAGTTTATTCCCATATGACTCTCAGCTGCCAATTTGAATCTACCTCAACCTCCGGGTACAGAAAGGCCAGAATGCCTGATCCTAAGCAGAACAAGAAAGTAAAATAAAACTTGACAGAAAAGTGCCATTAGTGAGGCCCTATGGGTGCACAGCAGACACGAATACTACAGGAACAATGTTTACACATTCTCAGATTCTTTTTCCTGGTCACACTCCAAATATTTTCGGATAGCAGACCAGGACTGTGTGGTATATGACCACAACACACACATTACTACACCAATAGCAAATCAAGAAATAAGGGCCATGATCTAAAACAAACTTCAGGAAGATACAGAGTGTCTCTCCACCCAATACTTTTGAAACTGAAAGAGAAAGCTTGAAATCTCTGATTTATTTCAGGAAAGCTGAGTGTAGTCCTCCAGTATTACTGGGTACACATCTGCTATCATTGTTCTCCCAGAACCAGTCCTGGTTTACCTCCCCATCTATCAGCATTAGATTTCATTTTATCTGAATAATGGCAGAAGGTGGCAACAGATCGGGTCAAAGGCTCTTCTCATATCAGACCCTGAAGAAGTCGATTACTCAAAAAGAGAGACATCTTCAGATAACCGTGCAATCCATTCCTCATAAATGTTAAAGATTTTTCGTTATTAATAGTGGCAGGGGTGACAGATTATGGATGTTAATGTTATTTTTCTGAGAATTTCAATGGCAAGGGCTTCTTTTTTCTCCTTTTTTTTTTTTTTTCCTTTTAATGTTTCTAATTAGGCACGAATTTACAGCAACTATCAGAATAGCCAAGATTAATACCCAGCAGTAAAAAGCTACTACAGCGGAGCCGCGGGACTATGAATGGAGCGGCGGGCGGAGGACAGGGGGTAGAATCAGAAACAAACCCACCTCCGCGACTCCCAACACGAGAAGGACCCCCCCGGGGCTCTGCCGGGCACCGGGGGCGCAGGGCCGGAGGAGGAGAGCTCGGTCCTTACCTGGTAAGCAGCGGGCGCGTCGGAGCCGGCGTCGGCCCCCAGGGCCGAGAGCTTCTCCTTCAGGCGGTGGTGTGCGCGGTGGCGGAGGCAGTAGGCGACCCCCGACGCCGCCAGGACCCCGGCGATGCAGGCGAGGGAGAGGAGGGTGAGGAGGAGGAATTTGGCGGACTCTGCCTCTTCCCCGCGCTGCGCCAGCGGCGGGACGTTGCTTTTCTGCAGGGGAGGAGAGAAGAGGCAGCGCCTGAGTTGCGCGGTCGCGGAGCAGCGGAGGGGGGATCCCCGTCGGGGGGGGGGGGGGGAGGGAGAACACCAGGCAGCGCTAACTTTCGTCCGAGGAGGGAGGCAAACGGAAGGGCAGGGACAGGACCGCTGCCATGCCCCGCTCCTTCCCCTCCTCTCCGCCGGCTCCCGCTTAACTACCGAGAGAGAGGCGGAGGTGCTGGATGCGCGCAAGCACCGCTGCGCGCCCTGCGGCTCCGCGCCTCCCCCCGCATCGCACCGAGAGCCAAGAGCTGCGAGGGGCGCAGCAAGGGAAAATCCGGTATTGTTGTTTTTTTTTTTTTTTTTTTTTTTTGCCTTAGCGAAAAATAAAACACAGAATGACAGGAAAAAAAAAAGAGAGAGAGAAAAGTAGGTGGTGATCCTCCCTTTTGTCTGCTGTAGAGGGAAACGGCTAAAAAGAAAGCCCATAAGTTCCAAACTCCTCCAGATTACTATTATTTTTGCAGCATGGGAGAGAATCCTTCTAGTGCATTTCACTTGTCTCCATGTGCTAAAAAGTTGTACAATAATTTCCCCTCATTAGCTTCATTATAAGCTATATTAGCAACAATTAAAAACGCAACATGAAAATGAAAAGACCAGGCGCGCAAATTGCAGCAAGACTCATTTGGCCTGCATTCCCCCTTTCACAATTACCAGGGAAATGAATTGAAAAGCACGCCCCTGCCTCAGTCCTGGTTGCTACAAGATGAGAACAATTAGCAAACTCCTTTCCACCACCTAATTTCGCGTGGTAACAAAATGGATTTTTCCCCATGAATGCCTAGCCGGCCTATTCATTATCTCTCCTCTATTAGTAATTTTCTGCTCCGTATTCAGCTAGCCAGCTCTTAATTTCCTCCTGTCTTGCAGTGTACACAGTGGCTCTTATGTCAGGCCCGGTCCATTTTTATCTTGTAATCATAAAGGCCACCAAAGCAATTATCGCTGGTCTTGACTGTAAAAGCTTGTCATTAATTAGCCTCCTTGCCTTCAGTGCTGTGGATTAGCCGGGGCTGAGGATGAGTTAATGGAAATGCAGGTCCAGTCAGACTCCCGGGTTTTCTTGCCTGGATGCGCCGCGCGGAGGAGGAGGAGGAGGAGGATGGCCGGGTCCGTGCGCCCCGGCGGGGCGGCGGGGGGCGGGCGCGGGTGTCTCCGCGGCCACCGGCCCATGTGCCGCCCGCCGCCGCCTCCGCGCCCGCGCAGCCACCGCCGCGCCCGCTGCCTCCCCTCCCCTGCAAGGCAGCCGGCCCCTCCTCCAAATCCCAACAGCCAGCAGGAGGAGGGGGCTGCACCCCCCCACCCCCAGCTCTAGAGCCGCCTCCCCGCGACCCTTCCCCCGCGGCCCCAGCCGGGCACCTGCCCCGGCTGCACCGGGGGGAGCGCGGCCTCTGCCCTGCACCGCCCCCGCGCTGGGCGGGGGAAGGGGGGATCGCAAAGGAGACCTGCGAGGGGCAGCACCGACGGCAGCCGCCGCGGTCTCGCTGCTGCCGCCGCCTCGGCCCCGGGGAGGGGGTAAAGGGCCGCTACGCTCTGCCATTAGCATCTCCCTGAAAGGCCCCGTCCCCTCGGGGCCAGGGGTCGCAATCTGCATCTCAATAGGTGGCTCCCGCCGGAGGGCCGGCGCCCCCTCCCCGAGCGCTGCGCCCTGGGATGTTAATCCGCCTCGCCGCGGTGTTTTGGCCTCCCATCAGCCAGGCAGGGACATCCCCTTTATCCCCCGGGCTCCCCCGCAAGCCGACCCCTGCTCATGGGGCGGCTTGGGCCGCCTCGGACCCCAGATGAGCGCAGAGGCACCCTCGGGAAGGAGGAGGCTGGCGGGCACTGCTCCTGAGCCTCTGCCTTCTCAACCACTGTTTAAACTATTTTCCTTCTCCGGATGCCGTGTGACAGAACAACACAAGCACCTGGGGAAAGGGATATGCGAGAGAAACGATGACAATTATGGGAGCAAAGTGCTGTCAAATGGCCCGAGTAAACGCGGGAAACAGAAAGAGCCTGCCGCCCCTTCTCCCTCTGAAGTTACAGTGATTTTAGATGTTGCTTTTTACTTCCCCAGAGCCGGGACTGCCGTCCCCGGGGCTGGCTGCCCGTGACAAAAGAAGTGCTCGCCGAGCCCCCCAGTACGTCCCTAGCACTCGGGAGCCTGAAACACGGCGAAGAGTTAGAAACCTTCCGTGGGGCTTTCCGCATTGCTTACACCTCAGTAAGCGCTTGCCCTGGGGGAGTCTGTGTAGCCGTGTCCCTGGTGACGGGCTTCGGGAAGGCGAGGGCTTGCAAAACCTCTACACGTCTAAAGGCCTGCCCCGACCCTCCGTGCCCTGGAAAGGGATGGAGGCCCCGCGGACGGAGGGCAGGGAAGAAGGGGCACGGCCGTTTCCCACCACTCCCCCCATGCCCAGCGGCGCCCTCCACGCCGGAGCAGCTAAAAGGAAAGGGAGAAAGGCTCTGCCGGGGGGCCGCCGGCCCTTCTCCCGCTCCTTGATTCGTCCCGCCTCACGGGGAACACCTCGGGAGCCGTTGCCGTCGGGGCATGGAAGATTCCGCTCTCCCCTCCCTGCCTCTCGGGGCGGCGGGACACTGGTGCTTCGGGCCACCGCGGGCAGCCCCCACGCCGCCCCTGGGAGACACCGTGGTCCCGGCGGCTGATGCCCCTTCGGCTGAGCCGCCCCGCAGGGAGCGCCGGGTGAGGCCGACGGCAAAGTCCCATCGCCCGGTTGCGGCTCCAGCTCCGAGCCGCGCACCGGAGGCGTCACCGGGCCCCGGGCTGGGGATGCCCGGAGCCTCAGAGGGCGGTGGGGCCCGGTCCTCCCCGGCGCATCCCATCCGGAGACTTTCAGGAAACAGCCCCCACTGCCCCCGACGCAGTTGGAGAAACCCTCTGCCCTTTTATCCTGCTGGATGCCTGACCAAACACCACATTATGAAACGGGTAAAAATTAATCCGACGTGTTAGTTACCAGCTCCCTCCTTCCTCCTCCTACCCCCCATCCCCGCCCCGTTCCCTCTAGCCAGGAGCACAGATTTCCCCACCTCGCCTAACCCCCTGATTCTTCCCTGCAATAAGGCCCCAGACTGAAACGGAGCCCAGGGTTAATTAGAGGCGTCCTGTCAGCCTTGACTTGAAATTGAAAGAAAAGTGTTTAAATATTTATGAATTTGACATTTACAGTCGGATGTCTTTTAAAGCAGAACACCTCTCCCTGTGCTGGTTGGGGCTGCCATGGTGCGTGTGCCATGGTGCGTGTGCCTGGGGTGGAAGGGGAACAATAGCTGTTGCATAACAAGAAAAACAAATTACCTCCCCACCCAAGGCTTAACAAATAAATAGACCACATAAATTACACGCAATTAAATATTAAACTCAGCTACATGCAACTACGCATTTTTTAAACTTAATATAACAGAATATATTGACATTCCTCTGAATGATTTTCTCCTTCGAAAATTATGGAGTATCATAGGGTTCCAGGGAAGAAAAAGCAACTAATTACTAAATGAATGGCTTAGAAAGTGACTCTGAATGAAGAAGCTTTGGAGGTGTTCACTCAGCCTTTACTTGCTTTGAAACAGCCCGACCTTAGCTTAAATACTAGAAGGCAAAGAACAACATTGCACCTAACACACTCGACAGTGTTTACTTGAATACACTGCTTCTGTGAGGGTCTATGGTTTTTTTAAGAGGGAAGAAAAAATGCCTAGGGTCTGATCTCATGTAGGCTTCCCCGGTCCCTCGACAGAACACATTTTATATACACCCAAAAGTGAGTCATTAACTAGAGCAGCCATAACACCGGAGTCACAAATCACTGCTTTAATCAAAGAGCAGCATCCCGTTCCACGGTGTCATCCCATGATGCAGCAGAACAGTCGACATTTCAAACGAATTTCAGGCAAATGTCAGTAAATATTTAATGTACGCTTTCATGTAAATAAGTTCTCACACCTCTGTTGGAAGTGTGGGAGGAAGTCTTTGTAAGAGCAGAGAGGAGCTCCCCATGCAGTGATGTGGAAGCTCACCTTTCAGATGCCTCAGCAGAATTACACTTCATTATATACTTTAGGACACAGGGCATGATTCTGATCCTTGCAAAACTCTAACTGAAGTTGAGGTTTTGTTTTGCTTCATAAATTTAAAAAGATATTCCTGAATTAAAACTCAGTTTGGCAGCTACTGCTCCTCATCACTCTTACAGTTTACAAAGGAAAAATCACTACAGTTCATTTTAAAACAACTCGACATTATAATTTTTTGCAATTTTTGCATGCTCTGATTTTTACATTTATATTACACAGTTTTTCTTCTGAGCAATAATAAAAAAATGCAGATTTCTTAGTAAACACGGGCAAAAAGAGGAAATTCAGAATATGATTTGTTTCAAAATATTAGAACGTTAAGAAACTCAAGAGGTGCTATTTTTAATTTGGAATTCACTATAGAATCTAATAAATGAGAGAAGTGAGGTGGAAATAATCATGTATTAATTCTGTGCATTACAAAATCTTTTCAGAAGCTATTATCAGAGCAAGAGGCATTGTGGTTTGGATTCAGGGTGGGAGAAATCCTTTGTGCAACTGAAAGCTATTGTTCCTCTGTGCAGATGAAATTGTACTTGCAAATATGCCATTCAAGGAGGCAAAAAAGTACCTAGGCAGAAGAAAAGAATTCTACAAGAAAATCTTAATTTATTCTTAAAAATAAACTTCCCTAAAATAAGTTTTAGTTCATTGTTTGTTTGTTTGTTTTCTAAAGGAGATCCTGTGTTAATAGTCATGGCCACTGACATTAAAACAAAACATAAAGGATATGCATATTAATTTCTTAATATAGAAAGCATGATGAAAGGGATGTGTGTGGGTGTGTGTGGAAATATATATATATGTGTGTTCATATATATATATACACACATCAGTATATGTCTGCTCATTTATATAAATCTAAACTTAAATTCACTTCTAGTAATTTCCCTCTTACAGAGGTTATCTGAGACATAGATTGAGATATATTCTGATTATTAACTTTTGATAGGTTACTAAAAAACCAGAGAAACACTTCACATCAGGAGGAGCCTGGCTACCCTAACCTGTCCAGATGAAAACTACAGAGAAGGTATTTTACCTTTGATAAAGTAAGAAAGCAAACAGAAGGGAAAGTGGAGTCTCCCTCAGTTTTGGTTCCTCTGTCTCCTCCCCTACCTTGTGCTCCCAGTCAGGTTAGGCTGGGGCAGCAGGGCCTGGGGATGTTCACCTTTCGTGCATATAACATTCCTCGTGTTCAGCACTGTACTCCCAAGCTCTTTGGTCCAGGCTACTTCTTGGTGTTTTAAGGTGCTATCTTTAGAGTTAGTAAGAGATTTCTGGGGCTGCTCTTCTCTGCCTCCCTCTTTGCACACCCTCCTTCTCTCCCCGGAAAGCTCGCCTGATGCCAGGATCACTTTCAGCAAATGTCAGTTCATCACCTGAAATGAGGTCAATTTAATGCTTTTACTCGGGAGGATGAAATCGGATGGGAAGGTACTTTCTGATTCTTTTAGGGGTCGGAAAGATTAGACAAATCGACAAACACAAAAGGCAGATGGATTTCTGGGAACTGCAGCTTATTCAAATCACTGAGAAAGGTCACTGCAAGAGCCACAGATCTATTCATCTGTAGGGGTACAATGATCTTTCCGCAACCTTCAACACCACAAAGCACTCTGGAGCGTCTCTATACCTTTTAGTAGGATTAATACCATGAACAATGACTGAATACAATCAAGAATTCAGTGAGTTCAAAGATCCCTTGATCAATGGTAGATATTTTCTTCTGGCTTCCTAAAGGCAAACAGAAGTGAAGTTTCTGGTTAGAGTTACGTGAAATTATAGCTATTATCCTGAATCCCTCTACAAGGTGATGCGGAAATGCCAAAATGTCCAAGTGCCCCGAAGAAGTTTGTGGCATGGAAGGAGTAAGGTTGTGAAAGAGGAAATTCAATGAGCTTCAAGATTTTCCTGAGGATCTGGGCAATTTTTTAAGTCAACGATTAGTTAAAGCACAAAAGTTAAAGCACAAAATTAGCACAAAAGCCTACAGCATCACTGAGACACTGTAGGAATAATACACGACTCAGGAAACCGGACAGCCACATCCATGCTTGAGGAGGTAGGTGAGCCGGAGATGGAGGAGCGCGGCCCATCCTGCCCGAAGCCGCACAGTGCACTCTGGGGAGGCAGCAAGAAGAGCAGGGCGCAGAGACACCATGGTGAAGAAACTTCAATTCCCATCTCTAAGGACTCGGGACCAGTAAGGGGAGAGCAGCAGAGTGGGAGCACCAGGAAGCAGGTTTCCTCCGCAGCCCAGGCTTTGTTAGCCAGAGTGAAACCGAGAAACAGAGGGACTCGGCAGGTCTAAGTCAGTGTCAGAGCCCGAGCCAAGAGGACCGTCAGCGACAGCCGAGCTTAATCAAATATCTTCAGCAAGCAAGAGAAACACGAGCCGCAGCGCCAGCGCTGATCTAATGCTGATGCTGAAGGCACATAATTTAGGGATTAGATAAGGCGCCCTTACAGCCCAGTGCCAGCAAGCGAGCCGGTTCTCGGTAACGCTGGCGAGCGCCGGTGGACCCGCCAGCGGAGCAGCCGCCCCGTCTCGCAGAGAGCCGGGCCGGGCTTCGGGGCCGTCCCCGCCCGGGGACTGGGCTCCGCGGCCGCCTGCGCGCCCCCGCCGCGGGGGCTGGTACTCGGACCCGAGCCAGGAGCGGCCCGAGGGGCGCGGGCCGGGCCCGTCCTCGCCCCGCCGGGCCCGCTGCCCCTTCCGCCCCGCGCCTGTTCGACGGACCCGCGTCCAGGAGCATCCCCGGGGCTCCCCTCGGCCGGAGGTTCCCGGGGCTTTGGCGACCGTGTGGAGGCGAAGCGGGCCCCCCCTCCCGCCGCCCGCACCGCTCCGCGGAGACCCGGCCCAGCCCCGACCGACGGGGCACGGCGGCAGCGGCTGCCCCCACACCGCCCGCCCCCACACCCCTCGCCGTGCACAGGGCGCTCCCGAGCCCCGGCCTCGAGAGACGCGAGCGCTCCCCCCTCCCCGTCCCCCGCCGCATGTACCTGCTGCCTGCGTGCCGGGACGGGCCCCTCTCTGGGAGGGCTCGGCGCACCTCGGCGGGCTCCAGCAATCCTCCGGTGCCAAAACTTCCCCCTCTCCCACCCCCCTCCCCTCCTCAGCGCAGACAAAGGCGGCGGCCGGCACAGCCGCCCCTCGCAGCCCGCAGCCGCCTCCC